GTATTAATGTTATAGAGGGGCTATATTGTTTCAAATGTGTGAATGATAGTTCGACCATCGTTGCCGACGATTTCCACCGTGCGGTCCACAGCAAGGTGAGGACAGGCGCGGTGATTTGCGCGTGAATTAGTTTATAGTTGTAGTGGACTTGCACAGCACCTACCACACTCTCTCTCTCTTCCCCGCCTGAACTCGGTGTTAGGATATAGTCAGAAAACCGATGGTAAGGGAGGACGCAGGTGGCTGACACGGCCGGACCCGCATCTAGGCGTACCACCACACCTGCTGGTCTACAACGGACACTCAGCCAAGATCTTGACCGGAAACAAAAATACAGGTACGGCACGGATTCCAACTGACGCGGAGTGAACCCGCAAATGGGTCTCCCATTATACTCCGGATGCTGACCTCCCCGTCAGACAACTAACAGTTACATGGGGCTGGCCTGCTAAAAATTGACTTATTCTCATAACAATTGCAGAAAAAGCGTCTCTGATAAAGTGTTGTATGAGATTGCGCAATTCTGCCAAAGGAACCGGATGATACCAAGCCTTCTTTTTGATGAAGACGCCTTCTCAATGCACTCCATTCACCAGTGTCTTTAGCCCACACTGTTGAGCAAACTCTTAACAGAAACGCTCTGTCATTGTTTCCCAGCAACTTGCTAGTTCAACTAGGGCCTTTTATATTTAGCTGCACAAGTAAATTGGCTCTGTCGACACTAAGGCTGCCAGCCAGACAGGTGAAGGCTGTGATTATTGTTCGTACACTATTTCCTGGTGCGAAAAATGGCACTCAGACGCTGGCCCTCCCCCCTCCCCTGACAGAAAATTGGAGATATTTTCCCATTGGCCTGCATATTACGGCAGCCGCAGTCTGGAGCGGATTTCTAATGTCAGGAATTAATGAGATCCGCTGGCCTGTCGCGTTAACTCTAGCGACTGTTGTCGCAGTACTTGTGTCAGATGGTAGCTGACCAGCAATTCTCATGGTCATCAAGTGGACGCGAGTGACCAAGGACGTTTTCTGGGCAGGCAAATAGATGGTCCTGACTCTGCGTAGGTTGTCCTAATCGGCTTCAAAGTTAGGAGCGTAGTTTCGCACAGAACTAGGCCTACACTCCGCCGCTTATCCCCCGAGGGCAGAGGCGATACGGGTAGGACTCAATGGAACTGATGACACATTGGGTAAGACCCCTCTGTAGATCATCTGTTCTATATGAGTGTGTACGTGTTGACCAGGAATGTGGTTTGCATGATAAGGGGAGGAGTAAGTTCTAACCACCTATTATCTCAGTCTTCGTTGATGTTTTTTGGTCTACGTCTCATAGGCATGATTTGGCTCAGACGCATAACAAACTAGACAGTAAGCAATATAAAAAGGGCCTTCAAGGACCAGATTATCTCAGTTCGTCTTTCAACGACCTTTTGTACGTCTACGCCAGCCAGCCTTTGAATTGGGCGTCAAGTTTCACTTTGATGGTGAGCCTGCTGAAGTCAACTCGGGTGGCTCTGAAGTGTCCTTGACAGACTTTACACTAAAAACACAGGAAAGCAGGGGAAACAGTTTTTACACTAACGAATCGTCTCGCGCGACCAAGGGTTAGTGGGAATTTGCTAAAGGGCAGCTTTAGACCGATTAAAGTAAATATGTTTAATGATCGAAGAAGTAAATGCCCACAAAATAGTTCCATTTTAGGCCGAAATGATTTACAATTTACTGAGAACTAAGAAAGTTCTGAAGCATGACCTCATCAGTACACGACTCAAAAGACATACGAACCGATGGAGCGAGAGGTATCGACCTTTGGAATAGACACAGTGACTCCAACATAAGTTGAAACCATGTGGACAATGGTCGGCTGTGAGAAAAGGTTTGTTTTCAAGCACGGCGACGCTAAGTCATATGAATATGATATTCCGCCGATCTCATTGCATGAAGGAACTGGTTGCTGGGCGGTTGCCTTGTGACAGACGACAGAGGCAGAAGGAAGACTGACACCAGAGTGGCCGCTTCTGGTTTTATTATCAGCAGTCCGCCTTAACCAAGCCCCAGGCCGGGACCATCCGGATCTCGAGCCCGGACTCCTTGGCTGTACGGTTTTTTAAAGCAGGCTCAGACAACAGAATTTATTGGAACCAGTAGATTTTGCGACGGCTTATCAACTGCAGCCTGCCGTTGCATACATAACACAGATAACAAGTGAGAAAGATACAGAGGTTTGAACTTCCACAGAGAAAATCAATGTAAAACAGCAAGGTCATTGTATACTGCACGTAGACTAATAAATAAAATGGTAACTTGAAAAACACAACATAGGAAGGAAAATGGGGAACTAAACATGCTGAGGGATTTCCAAAATCAAAAGGGCTCAGGTCTACCAGGGCAAGCTGAGGTTGACCACATGGTCTAACTGTTTACATAGGGCGGGTTTCTCCCGCCGTATGTAGGCTGCCTCCAGGTAGCGCAGTTGTTCGTGCTGGAACCAATACTCGAAAAGATGTTTTGGGGTCAACCGAATGACCACTATCAAGGAGATGTTTTGTAATAGAAGACCGTGGAATCTTATTCTCCTGCTTTAGAAGCCATTTAGGCAGATGCTCAACTGCCCTGGCTGCCAGTTGCCTTTGCGTTCGCCCAATGTACTTGCATCCACAAGTGCATGTGAATTCGCAGAGACAATTTGACGTGGCGTGCAATCGTGGTCAGCAGTTTTTTTCTCCTGAACCATCCAAATCATAAAAACCACCATAAATTTTATTTTTATTCCTTTTCGACAGGAGTTTTTTTTTCACTGCTGACCGGATTTGTGTTTAACGCTTCCTTGACAATGCCTGTAAACTAGCATAAAATAAAAATTATTATTATTATCTTTTGACCGTGGAACTGGGATAGCCTTAGTGGGGCTGAGGAATATGAGTTCAGCTGAGTTGTATGTTCTTTCTATGGCGCATCTCAGTCGCCGCTTGATGGTATTTGAGACGCTTTAATTTAAGCACTCCACCACTGACTCCTGAGCCAGTCTTCCCCTCGAATGAGATCGAGAATGACGATTCATGTAAAGGTGCCTGCCTACTTACTCGGCTACACGATACAAAATCTGTTTGTTCATGATCCTGAAGCTGAGTCCTGCGCCCTTTCAAGCGGTCGCCCGACAGTATGTCTGGCTGACGACGACAACTGGGTGCGAAACTGCTTCTCCGCCGCACACGCGTTTGTAAGTACTCCTGCCAACCTTATTTCTGGCAGACGCCAGGCAAATATAATTTGCATCCATTACAGAGTTCTTCTGAGCAGTTGCGAAATCAGGGATAATTAACGCCAAATTGAGTTGGGATAATTTACCAAATTAGGTCAGTGTACAGGGTGGGTGACACGGTCAATTCGCTAGCGGATTAGCATGCGGATGAGTCGACGCAGAGGCATTAGAAAACGAAAAAGACTCAGAGAGGGAGCAGAATTTACAGAAATGTTGGCAACTGGTATCCTCTCTTGACCTTTCCCTTCATCATCTGAGCTCATAAAGCCGTTAAAATTTAGAGAGGACCTTTAAATATGTTTTCAGGGCGAAAACATTGGCAACACTACAAAGCGTCCGAGTGTGAATTAAAATTTAAAAGCAGTTCAGGAATTTTACGTTTTTATATTTAACTGAAAATCTTTCCAGCCTTCTGTGTAAATAGGTTTTTGAGAAAATATAGTTACAAGGTTATATTTATCTTTTACGGGTTTGTAAAGTATTCAACATCGCATTGTTCTAATAAACAACCATGAATTAGTGCATTTTTAATGGAAACTATTAAAATGAGGCAATATCATGTCGGCTGAGCACAATAATTAAACGATGCACCAACCGTTTTTGAGAAACTCTATGACAGTTTAAACGTCGATTCTGACGATGTACACAATGTGCCCCGCAACAGGGTAGACTCAGGGACGGTGATATGCGTGTGGATTAGTTCATAGCGGTGGTAAGCCTACGCCTCATCTGTCGCACTTCCGCCCCCTCCTTATTCTTCTTCTTCTTCTTCTTCTTCTTCTTCTTCTCCTCCTCTGAGCCCGGTGTCAAAACAGAGCCAGAAATACAGGAGACAAGATCGAGCACAGTGGCTGATAGACTTAAACAACTCGTCTACTCCCTCCACACACGCCTGGCCCTCGCACAAGGAGCAGTCGTTTACATAAAAAGAAGTGGGAAACTCGGGTCCCGATTAAGCGGGAGCGCCATAGAGGCCACCTTAAGAAGGAGCCATTGCAGCCTGACTTTTCTGCCTGCGAGGAGGACCGAGTTATCCCGTTAGCTGGCAGTTTTCCAAGCCAAGCGCACCGCAATATATTGAAGGGCGTGAGGAATATGACCCGAGAGATAATCGACTTTAACTTGTCTTCCCTCTCACAGTCAGCAGTTGATAATGCAGGAATTGGGCGCAGTGGCTGACAGAGCTAGACAGTCCGTCTGCGCGTGCCACACACACGACCTGGCTCCCGAACATCACCAGGTTTTTGCGTAAAGGGGGCGGGCTGCTCAGACCTCATATGTGTGTAGGGGTGTCATAAAGCTCGCATGGGGAAGGAGCCAAAGAACAGGCTCCCAAATTTCGTGAGAAATGCCGATTCTGTGCCAGGGGTGGTTGATGCAGAACGGGTTCGTGTGCGGCTTGTGTATCGGTGGTGGTGGTTTGAGCGGCGCGATTCTACTACGGGTTCTCATCGATATGCGTATGGGCGAGTAGGCTCACGCGGTAATTCAGAAGGCGTAGTCAGTGCGGTCAGCTGGGGCGAACTCCATGGGTGTTTTGTTGGTACTCCTGGCACTGGTTCACGAGTCTCTGTGCGACAGACTCACAAGTGGCCGACTAGACCGCTTTGTGACGTGAAAGTGCGGTCGCAATGAGGGCAGGTTGGGACGGGGTCCACATTGACGATGGCGGTGAGGGTGGTGGTTGACGGGAGGTCTCGAGTGTTTACACCGGTGGTGGGAGTGGGCGACGTGGTAGTTGTTATGGTGACTGTGGGGATGGTGGTCGCCGTCGACGTCGGCTGTGGGACATTAGGAGTGCGATCACCGGCGGTGGTGGTGGGGGTGGTCGCCGTGGGGGTTGGTGCACGGAGTGACGATGGAGGCTTTTAAGGAGGCGGCAGGTGGAGTTGTCGGGTCGTTGTTGCATTGGGTCCGGAGATGCCAGACCAGGTCGATCAATGCGCGGAATTTTCGCCGACAGTGTGGGCATGTTGGGAAAAGGGGGTGGGCGTTTTGAGCTGGAAGCCCTTAAAACTTTTAAGCCACGATTTTTCTTTTGGCGGCAGCTATCCGGCTGGCTTTGTATCTTTCTGCTCCAGTCTCCACTGCCCTTCTTCCGGCCGTTCAATCATGGACAAGATCA